GGCAGGAATCCAAAAATCCAAATTAAAAATGTAAAGCAAACCAGAACCATGGAGACATCAGGGGGAAACAATCACAAGTAGCTAGGGTGAGACGAGGTAAGGTGAAGTAAGACGAGGAACTGCACAAGGAGTGTATTTATAGTAGACTGAACAAAGAGAGGACTAACAAGCAGATTGGGAGCAGGTGTGAACAGAGCAGCAAAGGAAGGAGCTAGGGAAAAAGAGACCAACACAAGAGGGCTACAGAGGGAAACAAATAAAAACCTTAGAGCTCAGAAAATACAACAAAATAGGAATAAAACCAATAAAACTAGAAAACATGGAGCAAAGTAAAATATAACAGAATCAAGACCATGACAGTAATCTTTTATACAGTGACAATTGTCTCTAAGAAACAGGGTAAAAAACAGTTACAGAAACAGTTTCCTCTTGAGTTAAAACGCTGAACAGCCATAGACAATATTTCCCTTCTTGTTAATGATTAAAAACTGCCTGAAATTAGAATCCTAGTATTTGACATTAACTTCTGCTGAAGAGAAAATTGGTTTTAACAGCCGATCCGAATGTCCAACCTCACAAGTGAGCAAGATAACGCCTGTTATTCATAATAAAACCAGTAAAACTGCATGAAACTCTGCTGACGAAATGTGAAATTTAAATCATACAGTAATCCAGTGATTTAGCCCAGAAATATCATCACTATTATCAGATGCACTTGAAGAGCACAAAAAGGGATTGAAAAAGTTGTAAACAGCTGTGATTATTACTACTTCATGTAGTGTGGTGTTGTCAGCTAGTTTGTGCTGAACACACCTTCCCTGGGGCCAGCTGAAGCTGGGGAAAAGTTGCACAGAGTATAAATGCTACAGACACTGTGAGAGGTGGCTCATTTTCCATGTGGATTGTATGTGCATCAAGCATAATGAACCCTTTACACTGCTGTAGTAGATCCTGGCACGAGACAACATTTCCACCAGCTCTGCTGTGGGAGCCCCTGCTGTAGTTGAGGGTGATTACCTTAGCTTGAAAGTAGGTTGAATTCACTCCCAAAAAATATCAAATACTGTACATACCAACAGATTAATCAGCCTTGATACAGAAATGTTTCAGACCAATTAAATGTAGTCATGTGTATGATGTCATTGCAAAAACAAGAGAAGGGCGGCTGAAGCAAAAAATCTCTGATCAATGAAAAAACCTGAAAAAATTTGACACCACAAGAAATTAAAGTGGCACTGAAATGCATGCAAAAGATAAAAGTCTTGAAAATTACGTAAATACAGTTGAGTTTTATATACACTTCTCGGATTAAATTGAAAATCCACTGTTCAATCTCGTTCAGCAATGCATCAACAAAGAAGTAATGTCCACTGTGTGACACAAGGGCTAATATGCCTCATTCCTAAAGCTGGAAAAGACACACTCATCATTGAAAATTTGAGCCGGATAACATTATTAAACACTGATTATACAATATTTGGCCAAATCTTAGCCAAACGTTTAAAAGAATAACCCAACTTGCTGACAATACTACTCTTTTTTTGAGAGATAATCATCAGGTTCCACATGCTATATCCTTAATTGATTAATTCTCCAATGCTCTGGGTCTGATCCTTAACAAAGAGAAATGTATAAATGTATGTTTGTATGTATCTAATGTCAGACACATTTGTAACCCTATGGTGAAAGAGATTGTTAGATATCTTGGTATTGAGATTTGCAAAAATCATAATGGCCGTCGACAGCAGACCTTCACTCACAGTATAAAGAAGGTTAACACCATCTGCAATGTGAGGCTTCAGAGAGAGATTTCTGTTCTCTGAAGAGCCTTACTAGCTAAAACACATGGAATAACAAAGACTGGTTTATACAACCCTTTCACTATTCATCAACAACTCTACAGCCCAGGACATCAACAGGAGAATCATCTGGAAATCAAAGAAAAGAAATCGTAAACCAATCATACTCACAGGCCCAAAGAATGAAGGAGGAATTGAAGTGCTGGACTTCATAGACATGAACAATACATTCATAATCAAATGGTTTCAACAATGTTTAAAAAAATATGCACTTCCTCTTCAAATTCATTTTAAATGAATTAGGTGAACTAATTACAGCATCAGCAAACATCCAATCAAACTGTCAAATTGTCAACAACAAGCACTGTTTGCTTCATTCTTGCACAGACTTTCAGATGCTCAGAAAAAGAAAATGGCCGTCAATAAAAAGCTAACTTTCAGAAAATGTAGGTTTACAAACCTTGGCAGATATCATGTGGTTGAGCTCATGTCTTTCATTCCTCAGCGTTATTATTGACTTCCTAAAACCATTTTTAACTTTTCTTATAAACTATTTAACTGTAATTTGGACATTTCAACTTTATTCACCACACTATATTTTGACTTTATAATCAAAATTTTAAATTTTTTGGTCTTGACGTTTCAGCTTCACTGACTTTGTGAGGAAGAGGGGAACAAATTTGTCCCCCATACTTTTTTTCGTCAGCATTGCTCTAATAGCCCGTTATAGAAATCAACATGTCCATGTCAAAAATGATCAAGTTTAGTGTGCACAACACCGTTCAGACACGCCAGGCTGCCCTGATTTTATAAAGAGAAATAGTAGGTTCAACCATTCATTAATAAAAAATAAATATAGCATAATACAGTGTGCCTAAGTGGAGCCCAACGACTCATTTTTCCCCTTGCAGCCATGTTCTAGGAATTTACAAGTAAAAGCCTAATTTTTAGTAAGTCTCTGTGTGCCATACACTGATTAAACCCTGCATCAACCTATGGGAACTTGTTGGCCTTTACAGTAAATCTCCTCAAGGTGCATGTCTATCGGCTACAGAAAGAAACAGCTCATTGAAAAGTTTCACAACCACATTCCTGTCTTTAACCTCCAGAACTTGGTTTCAGATGATTTCTTCTATATCGCAGATAAAATTATTTTTTTGTATGTCCTGTTTTGCCAATATAGCTCTGGGAATAGATGTCCAAGAGCTACTGTACAGGATAGCAGATTTGAATTCACAAGCAAACCATTATGAGGTTCTGCTTGATACCTGTATATGAAACTTTATTGAAAATTATTTAAGGAGTAAAATCATATACAACAGACAGGCAGACAGAAAAGGAGGTGAGAAAAAAAGAGGGGATAAGAACTAAGGGGAGAGAGAAAGCGATAGACAGGAAAGGGTGTACAAAAATTAGACAACACAGAAGATATGCAGTAACTCCAATGAGTCTCCTCCCCCACCTGTATGAGACGAGAGGGACAGAAAACAGGGAACATACCAACATCAACAAGAAGACAACAGACTACCAAAGTGTTTAATGACAATGTCTTTTGTGACTGTAGATGTATTTTATTTGTATTTTAAATTTGTGAAGCACTTTGTGACCTCAATGTCTGTAAAAGGTGCTATAGAAGTAGACATTACTTACTCACTTACTTACTTGCTAAATATAAAAAAGGCTTCCAGAGCAACTATTATCCCCTAGATATCCATGTGTGTGGAAGTCAAAACCTATGGTGATTACATAATATTATTCAGGCTGGTATATATCTGTGTCTGTAGCTTAGTATTTAGCATTAGTGTGCATCAGTGAAAACCTGGGAGCAAACTTCTATGGTATTCATGCATGCATGGGCATGCTCGTGTATAAAGCATTAACAAGGCTTCTTTAGAATGAAAGTATGATTGACAGCAGGTGTGGGTGGTCTCAAACTCACCCTACAGGTCCTGGACAGAAAAAGATGCAATGTCATCCCACATATTCAGAGGTACTCAAGATCAGTGGGACACAAGGAGAGCAGGCATAGAGATGACCGCACCCCACCAGAGAAAGGCAGATGAGAGTACCTGAGGGGCCAAATCCTAAAAGAGCCCAGTCCCTGATGGGCCCTTTTGGGTTGAACCCCAGAGGCCATAGTGCCAAGGTCCCACAGGCTCAATCAACGAGCCCATGGGCTCCATCGACAGACGGTCACACCAATGGCTAACCCGGATGGGAGTCCAGGAGTCCAAGGTCTAGGGGCAAATCACCACCTAGTGGGGACCCCTCAGGGGCCCGGCAGCCGCCTCAAATGAAAAAGCGCTCACCAAAGCACCAAATCCTGCACCTGGAGAACCATCAGTGTTCCTGCACTGTCACTGGCAGGGATTAATAGAAGGGGGAGGAGGCAGTTCCTGTTCTTACTTTAGGCCTAGGATATTCCAGTAAAATAAAACATCAAATAATTTTCCTCCTGATATTAATATGAGATATTCTTGTTGTTTTTAATAGTACTGTTTGTACTTATGTGTTAACGCGGGAAGCACTTTGTGACCCCTATCTGTGGAAAGTGCTATGCAAAAAAGTTTACTCATTTGCTTATTTTAATCCCCTTTTTAGGGGGGATATAAAAGTATGGTCAGATATTTATAATAATTCAATTATTACCCAGTCATGGTTGATGACAGAATACTCTCCTCAGGCATTTACTTCCTTTATTACAGTAATCAACTCTGCTCTTTTTTTCCGTACCCTATCAAAAAAATAATGACTGATATAAACTAAGACTAAACTAGCAAACTTTTAATTGTTAAGTTTTCCCCTAAAACCTTTGATTTCTGAGTCAAATATCAATTAGTTCAATAAAAAAAACAACTTCAATATTTATAACTCTATTTTCTTTAAAGAAATTATGCCTCTAAACAATCACAGGGGTTGATTGTAATGTACATTTTTACCTTCTTGGGGACAACTTCTCAAAAAATTTGGACAATACGATATGCTCCTTTAAAGCTTAAAGGTTAAACTTTCTTTTTTTTCTCATGACTCATCTAAAGATGAAACAGTGAATGTTTTCACTCTTAGCTGAGGGTTAGATTCAACAGGAAGTCATTCTGAATTATTAGGAGTTCAGATGTGCATTGTTGAGCAGTTGTAAGACTTTATTTTGAAAAAGATCAAGTGTGTAGAACTATAATAACTACTAATAAAATACAGCAGTATTTGAAGAACTGCTTTATTGGTAACTGGATATGCTGAGCAAATTGCAAGACATTCTGAATTCTGAGCCATCTCACTGGGGGAGTGTTGTCCTAATGTGTTAGAGCAGTGCGCTTGTGCTCTGAGAAGGTTGCAAGTACCTGGGTTCCCACTGCCTCCACTCTGGGGTCCTAAGCAAGACCCTTAACCCCACACTGCTCCACCGGTGCTGCACAATGGCAGCCCACTGGTCCACAAGGAGATGGATTAAATGCAGAGGTACATTTCTCCATTCCCATTCTCTTGTGGGATCAATAAAGTTCAATTATTAGTATCCCTTAATTATATACAACATAATGTGGAACAAATGCTGTATATGTAATGTGTCTTGGAGGTTGGCGCAAACATTGTTTCTAATAAATGACATTAGCTAACTCACAGAGGTATTTTAAGGCATGAAATATTAACACCAGAGTACATGGCTTCAGGAAAGGATTCAGGTGGTAGTTAGGTCCTTTTGTTGCAACAAGCTGTTTGCCAACATCTTGCAGCTGGGCTGATTCAGGTCTTGGATGCACTGAAGGATCACTAAAGTCCTGTGAAAAAGTAATTTTAGTCAAGGTAAATTTTCAGAGTTGATTGTCTCAAAGTCTAAAAATAAAGTTCATTTTCATTGAATTGTATTTTGACTACTGTAGATTGATCACAGTGTCAAAATGATCATGATAAAAGACTTAATATGTATAAACATATGGCTTCATCTCAGTTAAATATAAAATGTGTTGAAGTGGTTCATATATTCAATCAGGCCTAACCTGATGACAATTTAAATAGAATTTAACACTGTGCTTCAAAGCACACTGACACATCAAGACTCTATTTGAGATTTTAAACATTTGAAGGCCAAGAAAAACTAAGAACTTGTGCTTCTTAAACAATTCATGAGCCTTATAGCCAAAAACAGACAAAAATTAAAATCAAAGGAAATATTAAATAGAAAGTGACATTGTGAATGAGGCAAGTACAATGAAGTGAGAATGGTCAAATTTCTATGGTGACTAAAAAGATCTTAATCTGTCCCTTACAGGTCATTGTCTGTGCAGGTCCATCGGAAACCTCGTGAACAGAGTATCTGGATGAGCTCGACGACAGATCCTCGACTGCATGATTCTCTGCACAAAAGTCAAATAATGCATCTTAACTTTTTGGGAAGTAGCTGATATTAAAATAGAAATAGTATAAAGTTTTCAAAAAAGATATGTTTATAATATTCAAAATATTGAACGCATAATTATATAACATCATAGTCATTCTGTACACTTGTGATGTAAAAAATGACATTACATAGTTTAAACTTTAGTAAAAATAGGTAATTATTTTTTTGAATTTCAATAGGAATGTAAATTTTACTGATGAAATTGTATTGATATTGTCATGATCTGGCCTGTTTGCTCTCCCCAAATTAGTAATTCCTCTCACCTGCCCTCTTCTTTCCCTGCCTCAATTATAATTTATTCCCCTCACCTGGATGCTCTGGTTTATATTCAGTTCAGCCTGAGCATTCAGGGCCAGATCATTGCTTGTCTTTCTGTCAGTCTTTCTGTTCAGTTTTTATTTGGTTCATGTCCTGGATCCTAGCAGCCAGTGGAAAGAGGGTTTTAGTGTTTGTCTCGTCTCCTGATCGTCCACTGTTCCTCCCCTGCGGAGTCCTCTGGGTTTTTGGCTCATTATGGGGGGAGGTTCAGTTTTTATCTAAGTAAGCCTGGCTCCAGGGAGGAGACCAGTTTAAAGTCTGCTTCAAGTTCCGGTTCCACGTCCTGTCTCGGCTACCCTCTTCCACTGAGCCTGCCTGTCTGCACCTGATCCTGTCTGCTCCTGTGCGTGACCACCTGGTCATGCTTCTGGTCCCAGTAAGACTCTGAACCCTCCTGGAAGCCTGTGGATGCCTGGAAGTCTGGACCCTGCCTCCTGTCTCTGTTCCTGCCTGATCTGGATCCTGCCTGTTTCTGTCTGTTCCTGTCTGTTCTGGATCCCTGACCAGGATCAGCTTCCACCATCACCTCTGGGACTGCAGCACTGGGACACTTGTGGTCTGGACTGTTAAACCAGGTAAGTGACCAACACAGTTAATCTTCTATTGGTTGATCGTGGTCACTTACCTGTGTTTCCTCCCTAGAGTGTCTGAGATTGGGCGGTGCCCCGCCCCCCCTGCCTGCAGTGTCCGCGAGCCACAGCTCCGCTTTTGTTTTGTTTTTATTTTAATAAACCTTTTGAACTTTCCTACTGACTGTCTCTCCTGAATACTGGGTCCATCTGTCCTTGGTTCATGACAGATATGAACAACTTTGTTGGGCTGCAAGGTGTTGTATTGGGAATATAATACATACACTATATTGCCAAAAGTATTTGCTCACCTGCCTTGACTCACATATGAGCTTAAGTGACATCCCGTTCCTAATCCATAGGGTTCAATATGACGTCGGTCCACCCTTTGCAGCTAGAACAGCTTCAACTCTTCTGGGAAGGCTGTCCACAAGGTTTAGGAGTGTGTTTATGGGAATTTTTGACCATTCTTCCAGAAGCGCATTTGTGAGGTCGCACACTGATGTTGGACGAGAAGGCCTGGCTGTCAGTCTCCGCTCTAATTCATCCCAAAGGTGTTCTATCGGGTTGAGGTCAGGACTCTGTGCAGGCCAGTCAAGTTCATCCACACCAGACTCTGTCATCCATGTCTTTATGGACCTTGCTTTGTGCACTGGTGCACAGTCATGTTGGAAGAGGAAGGGGCCAGCTCCAAACTGTTCCCACAAAGTTGGGAGCATGGAATTGTCCAAAATGTCTTGGTATGCTGAAGCATTCAGAGTTCCTTTCACTGGAACTAAGGGGCCAAGCCCAGCTCCTGAAAAACAACCCCACACCATAATCCCCCCTCCACCAAACTTTACACTTGGCACAATGCAGTCAGACAAGTACCGTTCTCCTGGCAACCGCCAAACCCAGACCCGTCCATCAGATTGCCAGATGGAGAAGCGCGATTCGTCACTCCAGAGAACGCGTCTCCACTGCTCTAGAGTCCAGTGGCGGCGTGCTTTACACCACCGCATCCGACGCTTTGCATTGCACTTGGTGATGTATGGCTTGGATGCAGCTGCTCGACCATGGAAACCCATTCCATGAAGCTCTCTGCGCACTGTTCTTGAGCTAATCTGAAGGCCACATGAAGTTTGGAGGTCTGTAGTGATTGACTCTGCAGAAAGTTGGCGACCTCTTCGCACTATGCGCGTCAGCATCCGCTGACCCCGCTCCGTCAGTTTACGTGGCCTACCACTTCGTGGCTGAGTTGCTGTCGTTCCCAAACACTTCCATTTTCTTATAATACAGCTGACAGTTGACTGTGGAATATTTAGGAGCGAGGAAATTTCACGACTGGATTTGTTGCACAGGTGGCATCCTATCACAGTTCCACGCTGGAATTCACTGAGCTCCTGAGAGCGACCCATTCTTTCACAAATGTTTGTAAAAACAGTCTGCATGCCTAGGTGCTTGAATTTATACACCTGTGGCCATGGAAGTGATTGGAACACCTGATTCCAATAATTTGGATGGGTGAGCAAATACTTTTGGCAATATAGTGTATAAACAAATATAGCATTAATAGTAAAAGTGCATTATGTTGTACCGCATTAGAATTTGTACCGAAAAAAGATAAGGTTGTTATGACTTGTAAACAACAATTACACAGCATTTCATATACACCACATCCAACACAGATCTGGTAATATACTCACTACTCAAATATGCGATAAAAATCTTACAAACCTACACATTGAAACAGTGCAATTTCAACATTTAAAACAGTCGTCCAGACTAGTGGAATTTTAAGAATGCAATTACAACATTAATGAAACTAAATCAACACAATTAAAAATCAACATCTTAAACTGCCTAAACATTCTCAATGAAGAATAAAAATCTCTTCTAGATATTTTCCACTGAGATTGATTGGAACCCACTGCTAAATCTTGGCATTTGATGCCACATTTCCTACCCTAAGGGAAAGACTACTTAAGAGAGCTCTTATTGGTTACAGTATGACATTATATTTTATGAAAAAATAGTTTGCTTTTTTTTATTCCGTTATTCTTACATGTGCGGTCCCTCTGGATTTGTCACCACCTTAATGTTGACATAGTTCACTCTTTGGGGATTCAGGCTGTCTAGCTCAACACTTCCAAACATGCTGTGAGAAAAAGAAAAATATTTAAGTTTGAAACAAAGAAAAAAATAAGTGAAATATTCTTCTCACCCTTTCTAATTTACCTTTTTCTGTTGAATGCATTAACAATAGACCCATTTAGCAACACAGTGATGTTGCCGCATGCCATCTCTGCAAACTAAAACAAAGAAGTTGGGATTCAGATGAGCATATCTGCAAGTAATCCTCTGAAGAAAAGGAGAGAAGAAATAGAGACAATGGAAAATGGGACTTACATTTTTTGAGGCATGCTTCCACAGGGAGTAAACTGGATGGGTTCTGCATGTTGACCATGCTGGACAATAGTTGAAATCAAAGTCTGTATCAAATAGACATTATTGCAGTTAGATTTATTCATTGCAGGAATAATTATCTTTAGGGATGCACAAATCAAAATGTTTGACTTCTGATCAAAATGGGAAAAAGAAGCTGAAATAATAATTTCAGAAGATGATTGGCTAAACCTTTGTAAAACTGATATGAGCACATCCAGCTCTGGTTATTGGAGAGAATCTTCTTGGAAGAATTTAGATTTTTTATTACTTTCAAAATTAAAAAGGATCAGAAAGGCTCCATAAGAGAAAGGTGCTGGAGAGAGTGTGGAAATATTCAGGTGGATTATTTCCATGTTTTCCAGGACTGTCCAATTATACACCCTACTGGCGAGATGCAGTGCAGAAAATGAAACCAGGGATAGGTATCGAGGCTATTAATTGGTAACACTGCTTTCACAAACACTATGGCTGATAAATACTTGATTGACGAAAACAAAGTTAGTTACAAGTTCAAAGTTTTGTAAGCAAATATCTACCCAAATATTCCACATTCAAAGAGGAGCGGATTGCAGTTGTGAAAGAAATATGTGACCTGGACAGACTGACCTTCTCCTTAAACTTATGCGTGGATCAATCCACCATATACTCGAAGAATTTGAAACATCTCTCGCAGTGTCTCTTAGTTTACATATCATTCTGATCCAACTCTGCTCATTTCAGCTGTCTCCATCTGTGCCACCTTTCTTTTATTGTTATGTTTTTCTTGTGTCTGCTTTGTATTATACATATACTTTAAAACCTTCAACTCTTTAAGCATAAAGGAAAAATGAAAATTAAATATTTATATTTCTTTTAAATTTTTTGTCTAAAGAATGTATTTATTTATGACAGATTAAGCTAAAGTAATGGATAACTATAATGTGGAAAGAAACCAATAAATTATTTTCTATGTGTGCAGTAGTATCCTAACTTCTGTTATCTGGAAATAAAATCCAGTGCAACCAATTACATTCAAAGATCTCCTTATTACAAAATGAGGTCCACTGTGATGTAATTATCTAAAAAATAATTAGAGTATACAACAGCAGTGAACAAGCAGCATCAAGACTAAGGAAAACAACAGCAAGGTCAGGGATAAGATGTTGGAATAGCCTTGATATATCAAAATCCAGTTAAGAATCAAATATTTAATGGCTCAGGGAACTAAATCCAAATGAACACCACAGTTTTCAGATATGTTCTAAATATTTGAAAGCTAAACATCCCATTTTCTCTCCTCAAAAACAGGTGTTTTGTTTTTATCAGCTTATGGTAGAAAGTCAGAGTAAAATGCTTTAAGTTGTGGTTGCAACATGGTGAAATCTTCATAAACTCCAAAGCACATTACTAATAATCCTCAAAATGAACTTTTTAAAATTTGTTCTGTGTTACAGAAGTAAAACTGCTCACCGGAGTCTTCCTCCTGGCCACACCAGATGAGGTCATTGAATAAGTAACCAACCAAAGTGTCCTCTAGTGTCCAGAAATGGCGAAAAACAGCTGCATAGCTGTGCACCAACATCCTGGTTTTACTCCAAAAAAGAAACTGTTGAGAAAAAAAAAAAAAATTTACTAAAGGATTTAAAAATGTTATGTTAGAATTCAAGTAACAATAGAACACACCCTATCACATGGCCAGATTTGTGGCATCATGTTAAACATTTTGAAATAATGTTCTTCTGTCACGTTACAAGAGGACCGCTGGACGACCGCTTTTTCAAACTGCCTCCAGATCTCCTCACAGTCATACCTAAAAACGAAAGACAGTCATTACGGTAGGTTTACGTGTGTATTTGAATAACTTTATTTTCTTCCTATCAAAAGGTGATTTTTGGTCAATTTAAATGCTTCCGTTTAACTGTTTAGTCATATGCTTGGATCCAGCACCATGTGAAGAGCCAGCTTCTCCATTAAAGAGATATACCCTGTGTTTCAGAATATTAGTGCTAGTTTACTAGAAACCTGTCCACTTGGAAGTTTTTCCCAACATTTTTTATAGGCTATCAGGTGTTTTCCCCGTAATACAAACAGAATGTACAGATGCTCTTTTTATTTTTTTTATTGTAAAGAGAGAACATGCTAACGTGCTAAACCCCATAAGCCTTATTAGACTTAGACAGATTTATTTTGTCATTTTGTATACAAGAAAATTAGTTTACAACAGCTCTAGACAGTTTTATTTTTGTGAAGTGCAGCCTTGAAAACAGTAATAAATACATAATAACAGTAATATAAACATATGACTGTATATTTACAGTTCTAACATTCATTTTTATTTTTATAAAATAACCCATTTACATAACATTCAGCAGTCTAATTGCAGTGGGGAATGGATGTAGTTATGGATGCAGTACTGGTCCTAGAGGTTGACACCCACATTTTACCTTTTGTTAGTTGTTCGAACAAGGCTCTTTTTATTTTCTATTCATTTGAAGCAGACTTTATTGCTTCTAAAAAAATTACTTAAATAATCTTTTTTTTTTGTATTTTCTAAACCTTTGCTTTTACATTTTAAAAACAGAATTTGCAACTTAAGGCTTTTTCCACACATGAAGAACTCTTCAGAACACAGATATTCTGTTGCTCTGTCCCTCATGGCTGGAAATTAGAGTTATACCTTTTCAACAACCTATTGTACTTTTTTTTTGCATGTTGCAGTTTCCATGTGTCGCAATTACAAAGTAGTAGTAGCTTTTCCAACCTTTGTGGTTTCAGCACAATTAGCTTTCCTAACTGCTCTGAACACAGTGATATGTACAGCATAACTGACATGATCAAAGGCTCTGTCACCTGAAGCAGGAGTCCTACAGTGGAAATAAGATTTTTAATTTTAAACATTAAAAGCTGTCTTTTAAGTTTCTGTAGGTTATGTTTAAGTTTAAAAAGTGAGGATTTCAAAACTTCTCTCTAACATTTAATCAATGTTGGCACCTAAACTAATCTAGTTTTGCTTCAACCTTTCAAAGGAAAATAAAAGGATTTATTGTATTTTACGATAAAGGCATGAAATGTGATAATAGATGTGCAATCTGTTCACAGTCCATTACCTTGAACCAGTCTGAACCAGTGTGGTGTAAGTGAAGCATCTTCCTATCACAATGTGTTTAATGTTGGGAGTTGTCCCAAACATGGCTTGCACAGATGCCAGACAGAGATGAGGCACAATAAGCCCTTTGGGTAAAGAAGTAAAAGAAAAAAGACAGATGTTACATTTAAAAGTGGCGTACTTTGTGAAAGAATGCTTTGCAACTACTTACATATTGTGAAGCTGATTATTAACAAGCAGGCTGGTTTCATAGAAGGCATAATGGTGGGAATCTCACACCAGAGTCTTTGAAAAGAAACTTGTTTTAACTTGACATCAAAAACAGGTGTTCATATTCATTCTCAACATAGCTCAAAGCTATAGGCATATTTTTAACAACTCAAATGTCTTGTTTTCTGTCACCTTTTGGTTTTTGTTGCTTTATAAAATCTGAGTTCAAATGCAACAAAAAATAAATAAAACACATTTTTTAACTCATATACTCATCTTTGTTTTTGTACATGAAGGTAAAATATATTTTGGAAGAAGTTCTTAAGACATGCAGAACTTACCCTCTATCATATCAAATATTGAGCTGCAAAGAAATTCCACAGCTGTAAAAGGAAAAGAACTGGCTCCAAGTTGGCTGTCAACGTATTTCTTTCCAATTTGTCCAATGAAATGCTGCAGTTTCCTCTCAGGGCTATGGGTTTTTGAGATTCTTTTAACACATCTTCTTCCTATGAACATAGGAAGGCATCTCTGAAAAACAAATAAGATCGGTGCGTTTCCTTCCTCCTTTCCAAAAGAAGATCCACATGACTCCAATTAGGGTCCTGGTAGGAATCTCCCTAAACAGTGTCTGCTGTTGTCCGAGAAATTGTACCATAATACTTAAGATAATAAACATTTACAGAAATGGAGAACTTACTCTCATCACCCAGTACACAATATTTCATCATTCATTATGCGTCATTATTTGAAATATAAAATTTATAAAACTGACTTAGAGATCCAATTTCTGAATTAAGGGATTTTGTTATATTTTCATTAGAAATGTCTTCTGATAATGTGTTAAAAATAGTTAACACTTTGCTGGGAAAGCAGGTTAAGCCAGCAATCTTGCATACTTTCTAGATTTGAAGGTTTCTTACATCAGAAAATTAAGTTTACTCCTTGAGTTACAATCTGAACTGTAAGATCAGTTACAGCAGTAAGTGGGAATTTCCTTAACATTACAGCAAAGCAATATAATATACTAATATTAAAGAAATGGAACTGTGAGTAGACTGATAATACTTTGTAAGTCTGGGTATATATAATATTTATACTTTTCCATAAAAAAAAAAAAAAACATCCAATGTTTACTCAGGGTGTAATTAATTGCCTAAAAAACTCTGTGACTAAAAGCAAAAACTGAAATAAATAGTAAATCACCATGCTGTAAGTTCATGCATTTAAGTACCCATACATGAACTGAACTGATACACAAGCTTTCATAGTAAAGTGGTATTTTAGTCTACAGGCACCCTGAAGGAGTAATCTCAAGTATTGGGATTGATGTTAACCGTTGCCCGATCGCCCGGGGCACGTAGTTTTTATTGTCGGGAGAGTACAAATTTCATTGCATTTGCCCGCCGGGCAAAAAAATTATTTATCACTCAAAATTACTTTAAAATCACCGACATTCGCTGAAAACGACCCACAAGCATTGCAGGCGCCATTTTTGTTGTTTTGTACACATTCTCGAATGATTTGAAAAAGCCGGGTGATTTTCCGCTAGATGGCGTGATTCAGCTCTTGGAGAGAGAATTCTGCAGAGCAGCAGCTGGATGATGAATTTAATCTATACTATTATACACAATAGATTAAAAATGATCAGTCAAGGATTAGGAAAATAATAATAACTAGAAAAAGTTGCATTTCCTGCGAAAATGCAGTGTGAATGCTGTACGCTAAACTGTAAGCTGTAAGGTTAAAATGGTTGAAACAAGCTGAAATTTAAAGTCAAAGCTGCTGGAATGGTATGGAATAGCAAAAAAAATGTCTAAATAGTTTCTTAAAAGTAGCTGAAGCCAACAGCAGAAACATGGCAGACATGTTATCAAATAACAGCAAGCAGAAAAGCTTAATGCCTTTCCAGAAAGAGAGCAGAATCAAGCCAAAATTGGAAAAAATATGCAGTAGTTTAATAAAATAGCAAAAACGGTAACATAAACAGTAAAAAAGTTGAATCTTAACTAGTTGAAGACAAAAATGAGTAGCTTAAGGATAGGAAGATAAATGTTGAATATGTATAATAAGTATTAAAGTCTTAAATCATATGTGGAAATGTCAAGACTTGAAAAAAAATTTGAAATTAATTAAAACGTGTCAGTTGATCAGCAAAGAGAAAACAGTGTCATTCTTAGAGGCCTGAAAATCCACAAACCAAAGTACAAGACTGACCATAAGAAGCACAGGAAGGACAGAGAGAGAAGCTTATAAAAAGAGAGCTAACAAAACTTAAGGAGCTGAATTCATCAAAAAATCTAACCTGCATGTTATGAGCCGCTGTGTTGATGACAGCACCGTTGGCAGGCTTAGGCTGCATGTTACGAGGTTAGCAGATGCTTTATTACAGTGTAAATCTTAGAACCTGATTAAGAAATATGCACTGAGGTGTGTGGTCAACAGGCCTTGGTAGTGTAATTTGAAGAAATTGGTTGAGTTTGGGTCATAGCTACGAGCCATACGGCACAATGAATGAGTGTATGTAAGAAAGAGGCTTTTATTTTGTAGAGTCCCTTTAGTCTTATTTTGAAAGTCTATCATGGATGTCTGTCAAGGGAGGGGTCATGCCCAGCAGTGATATAGAATCCATTTCTAAATATGAAATCACTTGTTTTCCATGTTATTTGGTGAATAGATGCTGTATTAGAGCGTAAATGGGAGACTT